TATGCTATAAGAATATTTTAAACACATTTTAGAGCAAATATGTTGCAGAACGCAAATTTGAATTCCACACAACATTAAGCCAGCATTTTGTGTTTATGGCTGAACGGTTCTTTTACCAGCTTATAGCACTACTTTGCTATTTGGGAGGGGTCTCTAGTTTAATTACTCTAATGGTGAGTCTGTACCATTATTCACCTCAAAACTCCAATTGTCAAGACGAACAGTAGACTTACCGGATAATTCTGTTATTGCCATTCAAACACTTAAGCGAGTTGATAGAAATCTAATTAGTTTCGAACGTATCAAGTCGGTTGGAGCAATTAAGCAATTCAATTCCAATCTTTTTTAGATCGATGTCATCAAGACAGAAACAGTGAGTCGGTATCCGAATATATTACCGCTGTTCAAGAGAATTGAAAAATACAGTTCATTACCCTTTTATCACGTTGATGTACAGGGTGGCCAATATATAACTGACTGATTTGAATTGCGCGTCATTTTCGATACACGCATTTCAGTAGCTGGCGCCGTAGTAGTTGTGTAAAGCACACGTATCCAATTCATCACGGAGTGCTCCTCGATCCCACAACGCATCCGTACTGTTAAAACGTTTTACTTAAATAATGAGTCGATTGTTGCAACGATTCGGAAGCAACGACAAGATTTCGGTCGAAATAATGTGCCCAGTGTCAACGCCATTGGTCAGTTGGTGCGGAATTTTGAACAAACAGGTGAAGTTGGAATATTGAGAGAGTTCGTGAAAGCGCTCTGAGACGTCTAGCAGATATCGTTCTCAAGAACTGAGTTTTCGTTGCTCGTCATTATACACTATTTTAAAAAAAGACTCGCATTTGCGGCCATCTAAAATTCAGTTAACCCAAGAACTACAGCCAAGTGACCATAAAAGTTGCCGACAATACAGTCTTGCAGAATTGCAGCTTAATACCCAAAATAACGATTTTTACCGACAACTGATAATGAATGAAGCCCACTTCGATATGAGCGGATCTGGTAATAAGCAGAATTGTCGTATCTGGGCAATGGAGAACTCTCGTGTCATCCATCAACGACCACTACACCCTTGTCGAATCCCAGTTTGGAGCGGTGTTTGGTATGGAGCTGTCATTGGACCTTCCTTCTTTGAAGACGCTGCAGGTAATTCTTTTACTGTCACTGGCGAGCGCTGCCGTAATATGGTGCAAAACTTTCTGGCTCCTCAAATCCAGCAATTTAACCGACAAAACATGTGGTTCTAGCAGGATGGACCAACTTGTCACACAGCTAGGGAATCACTGAATCCTTTGCAAGCTGAAGAACAATATTACGGAAGCGATTAAAAATATTCCTCCCGAAACCTGCAAAAAAGTGATGAAAAATGTAATCAGGCGCGGCTTCTAGTGGAGGACATTTGTCTGATATTATTTTTCACATACAATTTCTAAGTTTCAATAAAAGATAAAAAAAATTGACGTATTTTATTTCAGTTCACAAATATTCGAGATACAAACCAGTCAGTTACACATCGGTATATGGTTCATGGAAAAAGTCCAATGATAAAATGAAATATACCGATACTAAAACCTATAGAAGTCGTCTTAAAAGATGTAAGCGCATTGACGAGAAGGGAAGCGATTCGCGTCACCGGAAAATGTCACTCGACAGTGACTGACTCATTGTTGAACATTGATGATTGATATTTTCGCGCGACATGAATCGCCTGCCTTCTCCTCAATGAGCGTGCATCTTTTCACCTTTTCTCTATTTTACAGCTTGCTTTGCTTATGTGTGGAAGGTGAAAGACATCTACAACTGTAAATCAGTTTCACAAATATATTTATCTAAAATCACATCGCAGGACAACTCTATGCATACAAATTTCCATTTGCCTCAGGGGGAAAAATGTAAAGGCAGCATTTTATTGTAGAAAGCTTCGCTTGAAAAGCTTCGGGTCGCCCGTAGCTGTTTTTAATTTTAGATTACCGGTAAGCGCGGGTTGGATATCGCGTTTTTGCAATTCTGCGAAATCAGTTAACATTGGAGACACTTTGTAACTTTTAAAAATATCTGAAACATGAATCAGGATATGATCGAAAGGCGTTATTACATTTCAATGGGCTCAGGTATCATACCAGGGATGTCTCAATAATGGGCTACTAGTTTTAGCTGTGCAGCCTTCGAAAAAATGTGGATACCCTTTTTGATGGTATAGGTATTATAGCAGTGTGCTGCTATCTTTAGTTGTGCAGACTTCGAGAAAAGCTTGACAGCTTCAAGTGCAGCTGGCGATAGTAGCAGCATCACAAACTTCCTGTTCACGTGTATCGGTCCATTATGCAGTTAGGATTCAGTTGTTAGGGAGCCCGTTTTGATCACTACGGATATCAATTTTTTGCACATTAAAGTCACGTGTCCTCTCAGAGGTCATAGTATAAAATATTGCATGGAGAAGCAACATGATACAAATAATTGAAATTCTTAGTAAGATCAAATACAGTATCGTGAGCCTGTCTATAGATGATTCAATACTAAGAAACATTATTGTCTTCCATAGAACTAAGGAATCGGTTGCAGCCATTCAAGGAAAGACAATCCCTCCACCTTTTTCGTAATTACTCGTGAGATATTCAAGGCCTCTAAGAATTTCTCATCGACGAAAGGTTTCGACGCTGGCGCTTAAAAGCGGTCACCACGGATTCACACTTTAATCAATGATGATGCGGTACCACCCCTTGAATCTTCATGATAATGACACAATAAGATAATTGTTAGTCCACCTGTAGGTCCACAGCATTTACCTGTATTCAGATTCAACCGATAATAAACTTTATGATTCAACCAAACTCAATAAACTGTAGATCGCCTATAAACCCAAATCCCTTATGAAAGACACCCGTTTCTACACATAAGGTAAGCAATCCAAGAAGGAGATAAAAACGGTGCAACCCGCATAAATTCCATATTGAAAAACGGCTAAAGTAAGAACAAGCTGTAAAAAAGCCATGATACTGTTTCGAACACCCATTTATCATTTCAGCACGCGTAACTTTATCGCTTAAGTTACATATCCTTTTGCGAAGATTTTGCGTAACAGTGTGATCAGAATTGATTGAGATTACTTACACTCAGCTTATAAAAGTCCTTTGGATGCCTTATCGAATTGAATACAATGTTGATTATACCCTATTCCTAGTCCATTTACGCCCCGGCACAACAAAGATGCAGCGCGGCCAAGCGGCAGCCGCCTAATAACTATTGGTTATTCGGCCATAAAACAACGAACAAGTGCGGGATTCGACTAGATAGAACTCAGGCTCGGGGTATCGCCGGCACGCCGACGCCGGCAGCTGCTGTTCACATTCGGTGCATACATAGCATGTGTTTAAACATTAGCATGTCGTCGGATATAGCAGATGAAACTCACAATATTTCTCCAAATGCCTCATTCAGCCGTGCTTTCTCTTTAGTGATGTCTCCTACTCGAAAACGTGACAAAAAGGGACATTTGAATATTCAAGCAAAATAAATTGTCCTTAACGTTTATAAAATTCATGATATTGAAAGACATGTGGCGAATAAAACAGGCTTATGTCCTAAGACAATTTTCAACATGTTAAAGAATATAAATAAAAATTGTCTTCACCACACAAGATACTGCGTTACACGAAGCTGTTGGATACAGTTGATAACTTTGATCAGAATGATATCAGACGCAAAGCCCATCAATTTTTTTAAAGGCAGGAACTTCCCACCATAGACAAAGTATTACAGGAGGTCAATAGTGATGAAGACTTACCTAATTTCAAAAGGACCACATTCTATAGTTTACACAAAGAACTTTGAGTATAGAAAACAGGGCAGAAATAGTATTTTGATGGACAGTCAAGCGATTATCTTATGGAGAAGAAATTATTTAGAATCAATAAAGAAATACCGCAACCAGGGCAGGAAGACTTATTACTTGGATGAAACTTGGATAAATGCAGGACATTGAAACCTGGATAAATGCAGGACATTGAAACCCAAAGCATGGGCTAACTCTACAATTAAATCAGCAAGACAAGCCTTCTGGCCTAAAGAATCCGTCAGGTACGTGTATCTAACCAATTCGGCATTTGTGTTGTAAAAATGGTGTTAAGTAGGCTGAATCTATGTGCCCATGCTGAAAACTTAGCTACACTAAACTTAGCTATGTCTGGTAGATCTGAAACCAAAACAAAAATTCCCACAATGTTCACAAGAAAGGCAGAAATTCAACAATGGATCCTATCAAAAGACATTAGTTTCAATGAAAATATGGTCAAAGCAAAACTTATCCATCTAGTCATGCAGCACAAATATAAATGTCATCTTAATGTTATTGACAAAATGGCTAAAAAACAAAATAAGACCGTTTTAAGGCTACCTCCTTATCACTGTGAATTAAATCCCATTGAAATGATATAAAAAATACTCTGTGGCTTCAAACTATGGAACATTCAAATTTTCTGACGTGAAAAATTCGTTTTTTGAAGCCGTCAACAGACTGACGGAAAACCATTGGAAAGATTGCATCCGTCACGTTCAGGAGGCAATCGAGACAAAGATGTGGGATCTGGACAATATGATCCATATTCAAATTGAACCTGTAATAATTAATATTAACCATTCGGACAATGATTCAAGTACTTCCAGTGAATAAAGAATTGTGAAAAGTATGTGCACTTCTTTCTATAAAAATAATCATTTATTTTGTTAGGTTATTCCAAGACCATTGAGGAAAATACGGACCTGTATAATCTCGCTTTTGGACATGTTGTGTTTTATCTGGGCGTAAATGGACTACGAATGGTATATAGCTGAGAATATATCTACAGGTTGTTAAATCATATAATATTGCAGGTGCATAGCAAAACCATTTTTTTCCTGACGTTTTGGGATATTTTTTTTGTGGTGTAAAACTCAACTCAAAATAATTCGCCGTTTGAAAGTTCTAGAGTTTCTGTAGAAGATCACAGCTATACCTAGTGACTCACGGATAGAGCTGTATGAATTGCAGTAACATACTCCTCCTGCAAAGTATTTAAATTTAAATATACTATGACTAACCTGAGGAATGCAGAAGCCTAAACTGACGAACCATGCGACGTAGACCATGACTTTCGATCTCCTAGAGGTCCACGAACAGTAGGTCAATGGATAGCAAACAGCCTGGTGTCGGTCAATCGCTGTGGCCATGAGCACGTATGAACTCAGGTATGGGCCGAGAGTTTGGCCGTACTTCACTAGCTTGCATAGGATGGGGCCACCCTTAAATCTGGAAGGTAACAATATAGAGTTATACAGATATATCTCTGTAGGTGTGCAATGTGGTGGGCGACCTCCGTCGAACAAGGAGGTAATACCTAGAGTTCCCGTGTCACACTAGACCATTTATCGTTATCCATCCCTCCAGCCTTGTATGTCTCCAGCATCACAAAATACTCACTGGTACTAAGTCATTCCTGGTGGTCTTATGAAAAAATAAGAAACGCAAAAAGCAGAATCTGATGACTATATATCAAAAGACAATTGAAGAGTTGCCACGTTAGACCACCATTGGCGACGACTATCTTCTACGTCTAGTGGCACTCTGACCAGTAAGAACGCGCGAATTTGAACGTTGCGCGCTGGTATTGTGTTGTGTGCACATGTGTTCCGTGGGGTATGTAAAATTCGAGAGGTTTTGAAACTGAATCTTATTATGGCGCTTTGAACTTAAAATTGACGCATTGAACCAGACTATAAGCCATTTCACCTAGGTACAGGCAAACTCCGAGTGATTATTCCTCCCATTACAGATGATATGTTTGCCTCTAATTTCCTCATGACAGCCTTCTATCCGTATCTCATACAAAACAGCTTTAGTGAATGATGGTATTATTTGCATTATCGATTAACAGACGCAACATGTCTTAACGCAACTTGCGGCAATATACAGCACTGTGTAACTTGGTAAGGTTAACCTGACGAGGACCCATGGTGTCTTAATTAAATATGCTATTTGGACCACTGGATTATGCCATTTTGATTGTTTTAGCACAATTTGGAATGTTAACGATATTTTCAGGTCAATGGGCTAACTTGAATGATCCGACTCGAGAGACCAAACGATGTGAAAAAGGCTTTGGCTGCTAACTAAAAATTTCGCTTATTTTACCCTATCTATACAGTGCGTTTGAGTCGCTGAACTGACACGAGGCCGTCATTACAGTTTTAAGAAGCCAGAGCTCAAAACCAGCAGAACGGCTGAGATAAGCATTTTCCAGTTATTGCCAGGAATGTAATACTTATACGGCGATTCCAATAATTGCACCTCATTACAAGGAAATTAGTCTCTACGTAAACTATAGGAAACCGAAAACACATTCTCATCTCATATTCGACACACAGGGGATATTGAAAATGGCCATTGTTTGAATAATATCTCATATGAATTGCATATTCGAATTGCTAGGTAACTGCCGGTACACGCGAGCATTCAAATGTCACGCTGCAAAAACGCCGGTTCAGCTTTAAGGCGCAATTCCACTGAGGCAACTCTTGGGCAACATGCAGTTATACGGCATTACGCATGCGGCACACTGTCTTTCGATATAGGCAACACAAAACTACAAAGAATATGTCTCCTTCTCACATGCAACAAGTTGCCCGTTGTTGCCTCTCGAGGGCGCCGTCAGCGACATGGATCCACCTGTTGATCAGTATCGCCGGCTATCCAAACCCGTTCGGATGGGTACGGCTTGAAGCAGGCGACAAAATGTAGTGTACCAATGAGAAAACGTTATATTCAATTGAAGATTACCATAATTTGATTTATGGAACAACAAATCGGAAAGGTATAAGTTTAATGGTTAATTTCTTTAAATAGAAAAGTACAACTGTTTGGTATTGGAAATTTAAAACGGGAAGGAAAAAATTACTTGCAAAGAAAAAGAGTGGATCATCGCCCTGCAAGAAGGGGGTATATATTTTTTCTGCAATATTCTGGCGTTTTTCTTTTTCTTTTCCGAGCCAAAGAAATTACTAAATAAGCAGCCGCCGCGACTGTTTATAATGACATGACGTACTAAACTGAAGTTGCTTGAACTGAATCGTGAAGACGCATGCTACACTCATGTACGACAAAGCGCATGCCACATAGGGGAACATAATCCGCATGCGGCATTAATTGAATTTGGGAAACACTGTCGATCGTCAAGAAGAGGCAACACTAGGAAACAAGTAGCATGCAACATGTCATTCACTGTTGCCTCAGTGGAATCACACCTTCACACTAATGTAGATAGAACAGTCCCCACTATCGACGCGCATTTAATGGAACGCCTGCTTTGCCGCGCGTTACATTCGATGACGCGCTGTTGTCGCAAACAAATTCGGATAGGCTAGGAGCCAAGCCTATATGTTTACATTGCATTGCTTGTCGCCGAATTCGCGTAGTTTTAGTGCACTTTTGACTCATTTGTCTACCAGTGCCTATCAAAGTGACAGCGTACGCTTGTGTCTTGAACACCACAGTTATCTCCACAAATTCATAAAAAATAACACCGAAAGTAGGATTTTAATGACAGCATGATGGCGTGGGCGATGAATGACACCAGTAACTTTTTGAATGAGATCTTACCTAAAAGTGACTTCCCATGCCAGTTGAGGTAGCACACTGAGAAACGCTGTGATGAGATCAGCTATGCTTAAATGTAAAATGAAGAAGTACATCCGAGAAAGCTTTTTCCTGCCTGTGTATCTGGAAGAAAAATAAAATCATTGCCAAAAAGTAGAGTAGCAGAGAGTATTGAGGAGACTGACAATTATACACTAGTCGGAATGGGAGCTATGCAGTTTGATTACGGTTGGCCAGAGAAGGGCGAATGTATTTTGGCAGCGTGTAGATGAGCGAGTTTGAGGGCACTTGCTGGCGCATACCGTTTGTTATGCAGAGGTATCGCTATGCGTTGTGATTACGGAAATTGCAAAATTTTGGAATCCATTAACAAAGTTGTTTCCTCATTTATAATAATATAATAAACAAATTCATTTCGTATGTGTAAGTAACTGAACAGATTCGCTACGATTTTCGAAAAACGTATGTTATTATACACATTTTAAAACGAAGTGGATCTGTTTATCACCTTTTGTTGCAAAGAAAAAAATTACTTACAAATGCGAGATGTTTGACTTTGTTTGGAAGAAAAAAACGTAACCCTTCGCCTTTCGCATAACAATAGAAATTATGTTTCGGAGTGGCTTGTGATTCATGACGGCTAGGAACACTCGTGTATTTTGCTATAAAATGCTCTTTGAACGAATTCTATATATAGCTCAGGAACACAGGTGATTTGGGATAAACAATCGGAAATTCTCAAAAACTACTTGACCAATCGACACCAATTTTGTTGTGGTTACTCAGAAGTAAGAAGCCTTCGGATTTGAAGAATTTCAATTAGCTGCGTAAAATTATCGTCGCATTAGCAACAAGCGTCCAAACCTGGATTTTGCCTCGGTTTTCGGCCATAACTTATTCACTATTAGTGGGATCTTTTCACGCCTGGTTTCATTCTGTAGGTCTCATAAATACCTAAAATTCTTATTTGAAGAGTTATCTCGCTCCTGCCAACAGTTTTGATTCAATGCCAAAAAACACAATGGGTGATATGCATAAAGGTGAGTGGGTTCTCAGAAGTAGCGACTCCATATTGTAGGGAGTAACTACTCCTGTTAGGGAGAGCCTACTCGGTTTTGATATGCATAAAATATTTATCGAGAAACGGAGAGGCTACTCAAGTTCTAATGAAATACTTGAGTAGGCACTCTGGTTTTCGAGTTCCGACTTGTATTTTGTTGTCTCGCCGAATTGGCAATTTCTCTATTGCGAGCAATTACTACTGTATACCGGTAAACGTTTGTGTCGGTGGTGTTTAGGTCGATTATTATTTGTTCATTTACATGATTTCAACCTATTCTGAAGGCCATTTATCTGAAAATCAAACAGTATTTGTTAATATAATTAAACATCCCGGAAATCAAAAATAAACGACGTCAGGCGGTTGAAGAAATAAAAGAAAAGGTAGAAGCCGAATTAGGAGTTAAATATAATGAAGGGCAGGTTTCGAAGGAGATTCAAAACATAAAAACTGGTTACTTAATTAACTTACTTATTTTAACTTTACTAAATCGATATAAGGCCCGATAGTCTACTTCTCTTGATTCACTACGATCTTTAAACACCTTCATAGGCTGATAAATAGGCATAAATTCGGCCATTTCGTGAAGACATCCACTTCTTATAAAGCTGAGTCTACTACTAAGGTATCTCGCATTTCTTTAAGTATGTACTCAGCGGTCGAAGTGGACGCTCGCTTTTATGCATATAAAAATTAAAGTCGGCACTCAAGGAGCGAGTACAGCCTCACGGAAAGAGTAGGAACTTATGAGTGTGAGCTTCTACTTACATTTTTATGCATATCAGATGGAGTGGCTACTTTAAAAATGCGAGTCAAAAGTAGCCACTCGCCTTTATGCATATCACCCATTATCTCACTGCGAGACTGAAAAGCAGCTATCTGTTGGCACTATAAAGTATTTCAGTTCGCGTTTGTTAGCTGGATGACCATTAAGCCAGCTAGATGGCGTCGATTCTGGAGACATAGTAGAAGTGGTTTTCTCGCCATTGAAAAGTTAATACTACCGTCGTCCGCCCGACTATAGATAGTCACCCGTGTAAAGCTGTTTCATTTTTTTTGACAATCATTAGTATGAGGTTTCGTCTCAGGTAGGACAACGATCGGAAGCAGAACAGCTACCTTCTGTCTGAAGTATAATGTGTATACGAGACAGGACAAAGTGTCATTTATAACATAACATGTCACAGTTATCCTGACGCAGTTGAACCTACTAATTCAAAATGTGGATTACATGCCTTATAGCTATTTTTTTATTTTTATAATAGTCAAATACTTGGAGAAAAACAAAACGTAGAGATTTTGTTGCTGAGAACTCGTAACACCAAAACAACCTTTGTGCAGAGTAATTTAACTGCCTACTGTTAGGAGCCGAATATGAAAATAAAAAAACGGATTTATGGTTTTAATATAAAGCCTCTTTGTGATAAACCCGATGCTGAGACTCCAGCTTCAGAGCGTTATAATAGGTAACTGGAAAATATACCACTGCAATAACCATGTACTATAACACGGTACGCGTTTTATTACATTACTAAATACCGCGAGCCTATTTGCAGCTTTGGTGTACAAAATAAAGTGAATGGGCCACGGAAGGGTTACGCTATTAAATAAACAGGTACTATTCCTCCATTTACTGAATAAATGGAATAAATAAATCATTAGGTATATAAGATAATTTTCGATATTGCAGATTTAATCATCATTGTTCATTTGTTTCAAGTTTTATTGAACTCTTTCCAGCGACCTTCCAAGCAACAAGGCACCATAAATGACCAATATGATGAATCATGCGTTTATCTAAATACTAATATATATTTAAATTTCTCAAGATATATGTGAAGGACCTTCCATCAAAATAAAATGTTGAATACTTACAATATATTCTCATGAAAAATACCCAATAAACATTACTTGAACGCCACAGTAAAAATAACAATATATTCATGGAAATATTTTCAAAACACTGTTAATGAGTTTTATATCGATATCAAATAAGTTGCCAATAACCAATAAGAGTTTGACTGAAAAATAATTTCAACCGACAATTAAAAAATATTAAAGAAAATAATAGTTTATTTACTTGAAAGCTCCCGTTTTGCTATGAGCTAGAATTATAATTTTAAGCCAAAGGCTGCATGGACAAAATAATGATGCGAGCTTCATTTTGTAAGTAGAATGAATTTTTCATCGCATGGGAATAATTACGACGTTTCAATAATTGGTCTCACAAGGAGCATTTTTTGAAAATTGCAAACACTTCTCATATTCTTATTTTACTTTTACTGCTAGAGCGCTATTTCCATGGAGCTAAGTGCATAGCAGAGCACGGGGCACGATAACGGGTGTAAATGGCCTTGTAGTTGTCGATTCATCCACTTTCTCTCCCTCTTTTTTCCAGTAGGCGTGGGAAGTAAAAAATGGCGTCGAGAAGATGGACCCTATATTTCCCACACCTTCAACATCTAGTAAAATTGTCCGTGTAGTACAATAGCATCAGAACTATTAGTGCAGTATTTGGGATTTTCATGAAAAACAATTCCCTAAGATGGTAACTTTGTCAACAATGTTTGATAACTGATTATAGTAGCTATTGATACGTATCTATATACTATGTTATGAGTACTATACTGTATAATCTTAGCTCACAAAATCAAGTGCCCCCATTAAACTACACTCCAAGTGTAACGCTCGTATATACATGGTCTCTGCGAAAGGTTGAGAAATCCCGAAAGTGGAGATACTACAGATCAAAATATGTGAATTGACCAAACCTTAGTCCAAAAGTTGATAGTTTGCGAGATACAGGGTGTCAAAGTTACAATTTTATTTTGTATTCTTCCTTATTGCTTGAGAAGTATTTCAGATTTTGGCATAACACTCGGTATATGGAGGTTTTCTAGTATGAGAAACAAGAATCCGTTATTTTTTATGACTAAACTTCTAGATGGAGCCACATACAGCACTATTTCGGTAAATAACTTATCATAACTTTTTTGTGCTACCCTGTATACAACAACTGACTAAACATTTTATTTGCTCGTATTTCCACAACAAAAAAGGTTCACTTGTTAGAAGTGAACGCTAATAGTTTTCGAGATATTTGTTCTTAAAGGTTGCAATGCATTATTTGTACCATGATGATGAAACATTTTTATAACATAATAATCAAGCTGCTTTGGATAATACAGGTATGTGAGTAGCGTTGCTATGGTTTCTAATGTTTATCATAATATTGCTTTAAACTTCATTAATAATTTTAAGTTGACAATAACTTGTTAAAGATCATGGAGTATACGTTTGATGAATATTCTTATATGCACTTGCTGTACGGATTGGCAAGATGTAATGCTTTAAAAACAAACATCTCTAAACCTATTAGCTCTAGACATTTCTGACAAGTAAACCTTTTTTGTGGAAATACGAGAAAATAAGATTTTTCGGTCAGTCGTTGAATACAGGGGAGCATAAAAAAGTTATGATAAGTTATTTACCGACATAGTGCTGTAAGTGGCGCTCTCTACAAGTTTGGTCATGAAAAATAACGGATTCTTGTTTCTCGTACCAGAAAACCTCCGTATACCGAGTTTTATGCCAAAATCTGAAGTACTTCCCAAGCAATAAGAAAAAAGGGAAATAAAATTGTAACTTTGACACCTGTACGTCGCAAACTATCAACTTCTGGACTAAGGTATGTTTAGGTCAATTCACCTATTTTGGTCTGTAGTATCTCCAATTTCGAGATTTCAGAACCTTTCGCGGACACCCTGTATAGATAATACCGGCGCACAAACGTATGTGCCGTCATGTACAATTATGCAACATTTACAACCCCGTCGCATACAATAATGACGAACGATAGATACGCGATCCGTCTGCTGAAAATATTCATCTAAGATTTAACGGCAAATGGATCTATGATGTGTGGAATATCGTCGCCTTAATATGCAAATCACATAGGTCCATTTTTTTGAAGAAAATGAGATATTGGCGTTTTTAGTTGATACTATGTGACGCGCCTGTCTCAAGAATTCCACATAACTGGCAAAAAATGCGTAAGCGACAT